TATAAATTAAATATTTTTGGAATTTTTTCTTTATTATTATAATTAGTCCATATGAAAGATTATTTTCTCTTAATTTTTAAATTGTACTATATTGTGTAATTTTTTAATAATATGATTGATATATACAGATAGTCACATTTTTTTATGGCATATATATTTTATCACTTTTATACTATTTATGGACAAATAATGTTTTTTTTTGTTTTATATTTTTAAGAACAACAACTAATAAGCTTTAAAATCATGAAAAATAATTTATATATAAATTTTTTTGGAAAATAATTAGATAATCAGAATTCTAGAGATAAGAAACTTAATGAATTTGAGCATGATTTATCGATTGTATATTCAATAGGCTCTTAAGGTTAATTTTAATACATATTACTTAAGAATTATATATATACTATAAATGTAGAATGTAATATTTTTTATAAATTTATATATTAATCATTATTCCAACTCCAATATATATACAATACCTAAATTTACAAGTGAACTTGGAGAAATAATAGAATTGATTCAAAGTGCACTAAAATAAAAATATAAATAAATTTATTGTAGAATTTAATATAGGAATTTCATATAATACTTTCCCAAGAGGTTCATGTAAATTTACGAAATTATTAACGAATAAAATTAGAAAAAAAATTTATTATATTAGTTATAAAGTTAGTAATACTACTGAGTAAATTCTGAAAAGAATGTATTAGTTTTTAATACATTTTTAAATGCATCATTTTATAATATATATTATTAATTTATAACATCTTAAACTAATAGTATTCAAATGTTAATAAACATATCAACTTTGTAATACTAGAAGGATACATGCTACATGATTGTTATAATACAGTGTCTTTTATTTTTTTTTTTATTCAATACTGCTATCACATTTTAATGTTAATGTATATTTTTTCGTATTCATTAATGAATAAAAAATATATTAGAAAATATATAAATATATACTTACCTAGAATACTATTTAAGAACTACTAGTACTATTGCATATTTCTAAATAATAGATCAACTTGAATTATTTTCAGTAGAAACATTAATAAAAAATTATGACATGCATTATTTTTAATGGTTTTAGGAAGTTTATGAAAGAAGAAATAAACTCATGAAATATTATAAGTTCTATATCAGTGGTAATAATATAATTGGTTTATTACGATATACAGTTACTGAAAAATAAATACAACGCTCAAGAAAAAATAATTTAAATATAAGTTATATACTTTTCTTCATGTTTCTAGAATTCTGTTACAATATATATTTTTCTGTTTTTTAATTTGGCTTTATTTTTTAGAATATTCTTATAACATATTAGTAAATACTTATTTTTATTATAATATATATTGCTTATCAATATATGCAACACACAATACACTGTCTAATTATATTTCAGTTTATTGTTATAGAATTTATAATTTTCAATTTTTGATGGTTTAATATAACATGATTTAAATAGAAGTTTTTATATTCAGAACATATATTTCTAATAGAATTATTTATATTTTTTTCGAATTGATTAGTTAGTAGTTTGAAAAGAATAAAAAATAATTTTTAATTATATTCATTTTTTATATATAATTCATACACATTGTTTATATTACAACTTAAATATTTATTATAATTCAATCCACAATTGCTTATGAATTCGCATTCGCTTTTATAACAAAATTATGTATTCAATTAATGTAAATAATTGTGTAAAATAAAAAAGATTATAAGGAAATTATAAGGAACAACATTTATTTATTTTATGTCAATACAACAAAAAATAATGTTTACATATATAACAAAAATATATTTATTAATTTTTCAGTGCATATTAACAAAATATATTTGTAAATAGATGAATGAGTTGTCCATATTACAAGTAAATGGAAATATACATATGTTTACCAAAAAAAATATATTTTATCATACAAATTTCTAAAACAATTACATATTATATTCAAAATTTACAAAAATATATAATAATATATACATCTACACAATTCTGCATGATCGTTATAATTTTGTAAAGAAAATTAAGTATTAAATTTCTCATAAACACAAATTTTAAAATGATTACATTAATGTATTTAGAATTAATTATACCAAATAAGAAGTTAAATATATATTACCAAAAATAAATTAATAGTTTACATATAACAAATATTTAATGTAAATAAGCTAACCATTCTTTAAAAGTTTATACTTATTATTATGTTTAATATTCAATATAGCTATATGTCAATTGGATGCCTCTTTGTTTTTGTGTCGAAGGATCTAGCAGTACCCTCTGCAATTTTTGATTTGTCGACTTCTGTTTTTTCTTTTTTTTACTTATAAATGGCATTCGTACTGGACTAAACTTTAAAGAAAAAAATGTTTATTGAAATATAACTTAATAAACTTAAGCATTTAAAAGATAGTTATAATATTTATAACACAAAAAATATTGACCTACTTTTATAAGAAACATTATTAATAAAATAATAGCGAGTGGTACTAATATAATTAGGATATATATATTATATGGTATTCCTTCATTTCCTCCATTAGATTCATTAGGAGCAGTAATAACTATAGGAATATCCTTAGGCACTGTACCTGTAACTAAGTTAAATATTGTAAGAGGTGTATTTTATGACATTTCAAAAATAAGTAGTTTTTCTTCTTCATATGTATGATTTTCAAGAGATATAAACTTTTGAGGAAAATTCAATACATTTAAAAATGATGTAAATTCAGAATGACAATATACTTCAGAAGGTGCAAATTTATGCACAAGTAAATAGGAAATATAACATAAATTAATGCAATGAATATGTTTCTTCATACCTCTGCCTTTTTCTTGATCAGAATTAACTTCACTATAGGGTACACTACATTGGTCTTTTATATTTTTGTGACCGTTCCCTTCTAGTTTATGTGTTTTTGGTTGATGATGCACAACTTGAGGGGAATCGGTTTCTTGATTTCCTGCATAAAGATATAAATTAGTACGAATAATTTTATCAGAATATTTTTTTGAGTATCTGCTTCAAAATTTAAGAAATCATTAAACTATGTATTTTAACACTATAGAGAAATAAAAATATTATAATTTTTTTGTTTCGTGAAGAGTTCGCTTTTAAAATGGTGAACAATAATTATGATTCAAAAAAAAATGATGTGTCTTACTGTGCTCATCTCTGTGTGGCATTGCACTATTAGAAGCTTCGAGAGCAGCATATTCAGAAGAACCAATTTTGTCGGAATCTGTTGCATCGGTACAGAGTTCTGTAGAAAGGAGTTTATTATAACCATTTTCCTCCCTATCAGTTTTATCACCATGTGCTTGAAAAGGATTCGCGCCAAGAACTATATAATTATGAACCTTTGGGCCACAATTAAGAGATCCTCTTTCACAAACATTTGCTTTCGAAGTACGAGCTTCATCTGATTTTTCTTCAAAGTTACACTGTGAAGGAGGTTTATTTTTGCCAGTATCCAGTTCATCAGTTTCTTGGGAATCTGATGCACGTGTGGTTTGTGTCCATTTATCTCCAAATTCAGCTCTGTCTCTATGCTGAATTACTTCTGCTGATTTTTCTTCACGAGTTTCCCCTTTTGTATTCGCATCTAACTCTGTGTCCTGTTGTTCCTGTGGCAACACTATTTTTAATTTTGATTCTTCTACTCCAACATGATTTTCCCCATGTTCTACGGAAGTATGTCCTTCTGAAATCCTTGTTTTCTTGGGGGGTTCATAATTTTTTTGTTTTAATACACCTCCTGCTTTTGGAAGTTGATTTTCTTGTTTACCATCCTTACTTTGTTCAAGTGAATCTTCTTCTTCACGTTTTAACTGCGTAGTCCCTTTTTTATGAGATGAGGGATTACTAGTGGATTCAGAATGTTTGTTACATATTTCTTTTAAGCTTTTTATTTCATGAGAATCATTTAAATTATGGAACAAGAACCCTCCTAACACACAACCTTTTAATTCATCAATTCCTTGGTTTATATATATATTCAATTCTTCACAATAGACAGAATTTCCATATCCCTTTTTTTTAATTTCCTCTTTAATATATGTAATAATGCCTACATATTTATCCATACACTTACTTTGATCCAAAGCACTACTACCTTCATAAAAGGAAATTTTTATATTCCCCATTTTACGTGCATTAATTTGCGTTTATTTATTTATTTTTTTTTTTTTCATTTCAATACACAAGTTTAAAAGTTTATTTATGTAGGTAGAAAAACATTAATTATAGTAATTCACTATTTTGTAAAATCATATTTAACTGTCTTGCATGTTGAAATTTAGGACATGTGACAATATGATAAATATATATAAATTATATTATTTGCAGATATCAATAGAGTATGTTAAAACGACTTTATGTATCATTTACAATAGTAATTTTTGAAAAGACGCAATTACTTATGCGTAAATTTGTAAAATTAATTAAAACTGGTCATATCACTTTAAAACACACTATACATTTACTTCACTACATAAATTTTGATTATTCACAT